ATTTATTTTTTTTTTAATTACAAGGTTCTTATGTTTTAAATACAAGTCTGTTTGATTATAAATTCGTAATTACAATAAAATAAAGACAACCTGATTCTTCCAAAAATAGCATTCTAAATCGATAAACCTCTAATTAGTCGCAAAGTAGTAGCAATTCAGTCACCAAAACTTTCACAAAATAGTCGCCATGTAGAGGCATAACAGTCGCTAGATCAGTCAAAAAACAGTCGCCAAAAACAGTCGCCATGTAGTGGCATATATGTCGCATAACAGTCGCTATTTTTAGAGACTAAGTTGCGACCTAATAGCGACGAAATAAATTGGTCGCACTTGCACTAATGTGCGACTGATAAATTTAGTGACTCGTGGTTTAGCAACTACGTATTTCAGTCGCCAAACAGTCGTAAATATGGTTTTAGCGACTATTTAGTTACTTTTTGTGTTGTCGCTAATTCCATGTTTTCTTGTAATATAATTTAGGGAGACTCACAAAAATGCCCCTTTTTCAATACCCCTTTTCAAAAATGCCCCCTTTGACTGTCCATTTTTAAAAATACCCCTTTTTATGTACAAAATGACTAAATTACCCTTCTTTTAATAAAAGATATCACAAATATATAAGAAAATATAACAAAATTAGGTCCATAAAATACAAAATATTTTTTGGAGGGAAAAGTGATCCCGCAATTTTTCCCGCCAAAACACTTGTAAATACTCTGTAAAAACCTTTAAAATACCTTGTAAAATTTTCCCGTAAAATTTTTTCCCGCCAAAAAATTTTCCCGCCAAAAAATTTTTTTTGCGGGAAAAGTGATTCCGCAATTTTTTTGGCGTTAAATTTTTGGCGGAAAAATTTTTGGCGCGAAAAATTTACAAGGTATTTTAAAGGTTTTTTACAGGGTATTTATAAGGTTTTACAATGTATTTTAAAAGGTTTTACAAGCTATTTTATAAGGTTTTACAAGTTATAAGGTTTTACAAGTTTTTTATAAGGTTTTACAAGGTACTATACCTTGTAAAACCTTTTAAAATACATTGTAAAACCTTACAAAATACTTGTAAATACTCTGTAAAACCTTTAAAATACCTTGTAAATTTTTCCCGCCAAAAATTTTCCCGCCAAAAAAATTTCGCCAAAAAAATTGCGGAATCACTTTTCCCGCAAAAAAAATTTTTTGGCGGGAAAAATTTTTACGGGAAAATTTTACAAGGTATTTTAAAGGTTTTTACAAGTGTTTTGGCGGGAAAAATTGTGGGATCACTTTTCCCGCCAAAAAATATTTTGTATTTTGTGTACCTAATTTTGTTTCAAATAAGGGTAAAATGGTCATTAAAAATTAAAAGAGGGCAAACTTAAAAATGGACTCTCAAAGGGGGCATTTTTGAAAAGGGGTATTGAAAAAGGGGCATTTTTAACAATTTCTCTATAATTTATTCTTTTAATTCCAAATTTTTTGGAACAAATTATATTGATTAACTTGATCTATAAAATAATATTTATGTTTCTTAAATAATATATTATCATATAATATCATTAATTTATTTTTATTTATATAATTAATTAAACAGTAAAATAATAATTTAATTAAACAGTAAATAAATAATTTAATTAATAATCATAGAATCATTAAATTATTTTCATTTATAAATATTTATCTAAAATATATATTTCACACCATTTTTATATTTTAAGCATTCAAACATTTGGACCGCAATACATGTTATTTTTTCACCATTCATATAATACTGAATAAGAGAACCGGTTTGGAAAAACTATCAAAGAAACGCACTTGTCTTTTATTTTTCTAAGAAAAAACTAAATAAACAAAAAAGTAAAAAGAAGTGCGGTCTAGTTTTTGTCTTCGTTTCATTGAACCGCATGGTGTGGTTAAGATATGTTAATTTGGGTGTGGTTCTGGTGTGTTTTCTTATTTTTTATTTTTATTTTAATTCATAAAATTCTGAAAATTTTTATACATATAGATTTTATCAAATTATACATTTACAAAAAATAAAATAAAAATATATTTGAAAAATTTAAATTTTCAATACTAATTTATCAAATATTTGCTAACCAATAAATCTAATTTTTTCATATTAACCACACTTTTACCGCATGATGCGTTTTTCTTCAAAAAAAATCACACTTAGGCTTTGAATGGTGACAACAGTTTAAACTGTACGGGACAAGCAGTTATAGAGGTGATATATATATACATATATATTTTTTCATAAATATTTTAATTAAACTTCGTATATTCTACTACATAAATATTGATCTGCAGTTTTTGATCCGCTTTCACCATTCAAACACATTTTGGACCGCCATAACCGCATGAACTGCACTTCTTCTGCCAAAACTGCTTGATCCGCACTTGTTCCGCTTGAACCGCTTGATCCGCTCTGCTAGATCCACTTTCTCCATTCGGAGCCATTATCCTTATTTGTGTCATACGTTCTCCATCAGCAACTTTATTTGCTTCCACGATCAAACAACTCAATCAAAATTTTATTCTTCATAAGTCCATCTATAATTCGGTATAGTGTACAATATTTTTAAAAATTTGTAGAATTAGTTTAATATATTTTTAAAAACTATACTTAACATGAAAATATTAAAAAGTTAATTAAAAACAAAATTTACCATTGATGTCGTCTCGGTGGGAATATTTGTGTTTCTTTTCCTCGAAACAAAAGTTAAATATTAAAAAGTTAATTAAAAACAAAAGTTAATTAAAACAAAATTTACCTCGAATTTTTTTTGTTTGATCGACGTATAGACAACATATCTATATTTAACAACACAATACAAAATAATATTAAATTATTAAAATAATATAACATCAGATTATTCATAACATTAATTTTTTTATTGTTACGATATTCATTATATAAATGTTTAAAGTTGTTACTAGCGTAGATATTATTTACTAAAATTTTCTGTTATATAAATCTTAAGATAAAATAAAATTGTAAATTATTTTTAATGTTTTGATGGGAGAGTTTTGAAATTTTTGAAAAAAATATAAGAGTATTAATAATTCTTATGTAATTAAACATATGTAAGGATATATATGCATGTACGTGTTGGAAAAAGAAGCTTATTTGTTTAATCAGATAGGATCGGTGAATGCTTACTTGATAGATGAGTATTTTTAAGGTAGAAAATAATATTGTATGGTATGTTATGTTATAAACCTTGTTCAAAAACGCGGCCAAGGAGGTCGATTACGCGGCGGCTAGTCGCTCGGCGGCAAGGGACCGCCGAGATTAGGCTAAAATCGGAAGTTTTGAAAAAATTTGATTTTTTTGTTCTTTTAAAGGTTGAAAATGATAGATACTTGATGGATCTAGCAATAAACACTAAAAAAACAAAAAAAAATGATGAAAAGTGAGGAAAAAATCAAGTGACAGCGGATTAGGGTTAGAGATCTCTCATTTTCAAGAGGTAGAAGACGAGGGTATTTTGGTAATTTAATACCAATGAAACCTAAAATGAACAAAATAGACAAAAATGTAGCTGGAATTGCTTGAACTCCCCACCATTATAAGCGGAAACGCCCTTAAAACCACTGAACCAACTTGCGCTTTTGATTTTATTTCCACACGAATAATATATATACAATATATAAGTAAAAAATATTAAAAAAACAAATTCCGATTAATCTCCGTTTAATCTCCGATTTTTCGGCTAGGCGCTAGGCCCGGCTCGAGCGCCCGACTAACGCCTAGCGATTTTTTAAACATGGGTTATAAAGTATAATTTTTTAATTAAAAAAAATAGTGTCAACTATCTACAGTTCCAAAACACACATCTTTCATTGCTTTTACTTTGAAGTACGGATCTACATGTATTGGCCTTCTTTTGTCATGCACATGGTATTTTCTCTTTTTATTTTTAATTTTTTAAATTTAAAATAAAATAAAAGTGAAAAGATAGTTGTGAATGGTTATAAAAAGCTAAAATCACCCTGTGTTTTTCTGAAACAATTCAAACATTCAGGCTGTGAATGGTAACAATAAAGCAATGCGGTTTTTGAAATTTTTTTAAAAAACTCTTTTAAGTTACCAATCATAGGTCTTGATTGGTGGCAACGTTATTGCGAATTTTAAAAAAAAAAATATTGAAAAACGCAAAAAGTCACCCAATCAGTAAAAGCAAAACAGATAAATATACAGGACCGCGTTTCTATACAGCCTTCATGTTTTATCCAGCGGTCCACTCCAATTACGCGATGGGTAATACCCAATTTTTTTTTCCAATTTTTTCTTTATTTTTAACTGTTTTTAATATAATGAGTTTTCCTATATATACATCAACAATCACATAAGCAAAGCAAAAGAAAAAAGTTCCTAAACTATCTCATTTTTTATACGTATCGCCAATCTCCTTCCTAAATATTTGTACATTTAATGTAATTTTTAATCTTTTAATCATATCTAGTTATATATATATGGTAAACGTCACCACCATTATTCTCTTGTTCATCATATAGTAATAATTAATTTGGACATTCATTAATCTATTTTCAAGTCAGTAATTAATTAGGTTATTTATGTATTAATAGTTTAATTAATACTCCCTCTGTTTTCCAAAAATTGATTTTCTGAATTTTGCACACAGATTAAGACAGAATGATTGTTTCATTTTAGTACTTATTTGTCTACTCTTTTTTGTTTCCCAACACTACCAACATTCTTTTTTTCTCTTTCTAATTCAATGAAAAGTTTTGCATCCAAAAAAAGAAAAGCTTTGGCACTCATGTTTACGAGTGTTATTATATAATCAATGCAAATAGCACAAAAAATAAACTGTCTTGCTTTTATTGTATTAACACATTTCTTACTACTTTCAAAAGGGAACTTAATCGTTAAAAATTTCAATTTGGAGCCAAATTTTGGTTTTTCAACAAAACAAAATTTAAAAAATGGAGCCAAAACTAAAATGAAAAGTTCCACTAATCTTCTATATATATTCGTAATATGGATTTACACCGTTTATTATAACTCATCAATGGTTTTTCACAGATTTGATCTAAATTTATCATTTCCAACTAATGAAAGAGAACTTTTGTTTGATCTGAATAGAAGTCCACCGAGAGAATCTACGACGTTGGAGTACGGTGCAACTGTTCCAGTTCAAGAAGGACCTGAAAATTCTTGTTCTATAAATTCAGGTACTTTTGTTTTTTTTTCTTTCTTAGTTAATTATTCTATTGTGCGTTAGTGATATATATTTATACTTTACTTCTAATGATTTGCTATAAACAGCATGTCATAGTTATTTGAGTAAGCTATTGATACATGTCACAAAGTAATCTCTGTTTTTTTTAGATATATTGTTCTAGTAATATTTTTCTTTGTAGATATATTGTGTAATATTGCTATTGATACATGTCACAAAGTAATCTCTATTTTTTTTGTAGATATATTGTTCTAGTAATATTTTTCTATGTAAATATATTGTTCTAGTAATATTGCTATTGATACATGTAACAAAGTAATCTCTGTTTTTAGAAAATATAATGGTTTTTTTAATATTTTACTTCTAATAATTTGCTATAAACTGTATATATGTAAATAGTTTACATTTTAGATACAAAAATTTGGAATACAAAATATTTTACTTTGTTGATATTATTCTAGTAATATTGCTATATTGATAGATGTCATAAAGTAATCTCTCTTTTTAGAAAATTTATTGGATTTTTTTTAGCTTTTACTTCTAATAATTTTTTATAAACTGTATATATGTCAATAGTATACATTTTTGATACACAAATTTGGAAAACAGAATATTTTACTTTATAGATATATTATTCTAGTAATATTGCTATATTGATACATGTCATAAACTAATCTATGTTTTTAGAAAACTTATTAGGTTATTTAGTTTCTTTAAAATATCATGGAGTAATTTAATCTATAACAATTTTTTGTTATTAAAATAAATGTTACTTATTTGTTTTTATCATCGTAATTATTTGTCTTTGTGTAGAATTATCATTATTATTTAATTATTTATGTTTTATGTAGAATCAAAAACGTTTCTTGTCATCATGAAATATTATATTTATACATTACTTACGATGATTACTTGTTATGAGTGGATTCATTATCTTATAAGAAAATCAATGTAAAACTAACTTAATTTGTTTTAATGTTTGCGATAGGAGAAAACGTTGAGGTGTCACAAGGTCATGAAGAAGCTCGTGTTCACAGAAAAGAAATGACAGATGGTGAAAGAGTAGAGATTTACCATGCTTTATTGGCAAGAAGTGTTAATGGTAAATTGAGGAAACATACTAGGGCTGAAGTTTCTAGTTTATTTTCTGTACCTTTACAAACGGTCCAACGAATTTGGCGATGGGCAAAAAATAATACCAATGGAGAAGTTGTTGACGTATCACATAAGAGAAAGGGTAACTGTGGTAGGAAGAAGATGCAGATTGAACTCGATCGACTTGCTGATATTCCACTCCATCGTCGGAAGACATTAAGGTCATTGGCGGCTTCTTTGGATGTGAGCACTGGAGTATTGTTTCGGCATCTAAAAGAAGGGCTCATTAAGCGACATACAAATGCCATCAAGCCAAGTTTGAGAGAAGGTAATATGAAAGCTCGTTTAGAATTTTGTGTCTCCATGCTTGACAGTAGCACTTTGCATGATAACCCAAAATTTGTTGATATGTACAATATTGTGCATATTGATGAAAAATGGTTTTACATGACAAAGAAGACAGAGACTTATTACCTACTTCCTATTGAAGAAGAGCCGCATCGTACATGTCAGAGTAAAAACTACATTGGAAAGGTTATGTTTTTAGCTGCTATGGCTCGTCCAAGATTTGATACGAAAGGTAATGAGACATTTTCCGGAAAAATAGGGGTGTTTCCTTTTGTTACAATGCAACCAGCTCAGAGACGAAGTAGAAATCGAGAGGGTGGTACGTTGGAGTTAAAGCTGATGACTTCCATCAAAAGAGAAGATATAAAGGAGTTCTTAATTGAGAAAGTTATCCCGAGAATTCGTGAGAGATGGCCACAAGAAGATTTTGGGAAAACTATTTTTATTCAACAAGATAATGCAAGAACACACGTTGATCCGGAAGATGAAGAATTCCAAGCAGCTGCTTCTGATCATGGTTTTGATATTCGTTTGATGTGTCAACCACCAAATTCGCCTGACTTGAATATTTTAGATCTTGGATTTTTTAATGCCATTTAGGCATTACAACACCAAGTGTGTCCAAAGACAATAGAATAACTTGTTTCTGCGGTTGAAAATTCATTCGATGAATATCCTGCAAAACAAGTGAATCGGATTTTTTTGACTCTGCAGTCATGCATGCAAGAAATTATGAAAGTCAAAGGTTCAAATAGGTATAAAATTCCACATCTGAAGAAATCCATCTTGGAAAAAGAAGGTAATCTACCTTCACAAATGGCTTGCGATCCTATTTTGGTACAAGATTTAATAAATTATTTAGATACTTATGTTTTTTTTTTTTTAATTATTTCATGTTTGTTTTTCATTTCATTTCGGTTTTGTATGATTTTGTTTAAACGGCTGATTAGTTTCGTACTCCATTGTTTGTTTTAGTTTAAAAAGTTTTTATATTTAAATTAAATAACTTACACTTGCATAAACAAAAAAAAATGTAAATAAAATTTGGTCGCAGCTTTTACATTAATATAAAAAGAACTTATTTAAATTCATTTTTAAAGATTTTGTCTTCAATCGATTACATTGTCTATTCATTCACGTCCATGACATGACAAAGAGCACCGACGATCATAAGAGACAATCAAAATAAGGAAAATTATTCAGAAAACCAAAGATGAAAGATAAACCAAACGGAAAATAAAGAACCAAAGCTAATAAAACTTGGGGAAATATATCTTCAGCATAGTCAATATAGTGTCTTCAATCTCTTTGTTGTCTGGATAAAGCTCTCCTACATCATAGTAATAACTACTCTTTGACTGTATTAGTATAAATTATTTTTTCCTTGCGTGTCATTAATTTACCTTTTTCGTAAAAAGAGAAAGCAATTAAATGTATTCTAAAAAATCAATCTTTTGAAAACAAAATAAAAACTCAGAAAATCAATCTTTGGAAAACAGAGGGAGTATATACTTATAACTATACAATATTTTTGTAGAATCTCATCATTAATTATCATAGGGATCGTTAAGACATATATAAATCATGGAGTTCACATGTATTAGTTAAATTAATACTATTCGTTAATTTGTAATCTAATTTACTTGGTTTGTCTAAACTATACATGTCCGTTAATTATGTAACAATTTTTTAATATTGTAATGTTTCATATCATTTTATAGTTTTCTTTCAATAATTGATATATATCTATATATATATTAATTAGTTTTTTTACAAAATTATGTTTATATATGTTAAATACATATTATACTTGAATATATATACTTCAAAAAATTATTATTAAAAATGAAAATAAAATAGTTAATAGCTTATCAAATTTGTTTATTAAATATTACATAGTCATTGTATGATTTTAATGATTGTAGATATGTTGTCTAATCGTCGACGGAACACAAATTCTTCCACTCAAAATAGTATATAGTTTATAATATTAGTTTATGAATAATTGTTGAATTTTATTAAATATAGATATGTCGTCCAATCGTCAACGAGACACAAATCCATCAGCTCATTCTACCGAAATTTCAACTCCTTCAACGAAAACAATTGTACAAGTCCAAGATGATTATGATGAATTTAAAAAGGCGGAAGCGATTTTCATTGCGCTAAATCTTTCCAAATACACTAGATTTTAGTGGACATGCATTAGTACACTCAAGGAGCAAGTACTTTGGCGTAAGTATTTCATTGACATAGCTGAAAGCACCGATGAGGATAAGCTACAACTGTTAGAAACTATGGGTGTAAATGGTAACATTACTTTCGAGGAATTGTTGAGGAATTTTGGTGGAAAAAAATAATGTTACATCATTTGAAGACTTGAGGAATTGTTGAGGAATTTGTGGAATTCTTGAGGAATTTTGTTTGTTAGTTTTTTTTTTGTTTCTATCAAAAATTAAATATTTAACTTCAATAGTAAAAGTTGTTATTAAAGAAATTCTAAATTAGAAAATTACAATAATTTCATTTTTATCAAAAATAAAAATTAAGTTCAAGAGTTTATAGTTATAAATGATAATTATGTTCGATTAAATTATCAAATATATTAACTTTAGATTTCACCATAAATCACCAGAAAATATAATAATTATGTTTGATAAAACTTTAAATATATTAACTTATAACTTTTAATAATTTTTAAATCTTAAGAACTATTAGATATTTTAAAGAATTTAATTAATTTAAAAACATAAATCAGATTCTATGTAACTTTTTTTTTGGTGTGCGGATTCTATGTAACTTGGTTATATGTCTAATATAATAATTTTAAATTTCTTCAAAATTCAACCTTATTTTTTACAAATTACAAGTTTTTCATAATATTTCGTTTTTAACTAATTTTGTTGGAATTTTTTTTCTAATTAAAAACTTTAGAAGTTTATTTGATTAATTATTTAAAAAACAAAATTCAGCCAGATTCAGCAGTTACCATTTGAACTTTGAATTATTCAGCCAGATTCTGCAAAAAATCACAAATAAATTCAGCTAGATTCAGTAATTCAGCCAGATTCAGCCGGATTCCTCTGTTATCATTTAGACCCTATGACAGGTATTTTACGGAACAACGAAGATAGGTCAAAAAAGTTAGGTTCAGATTAATAATAGTTTTTTTATTGTATTGTACTTTTTATGATTGAAATTTTTAAATGATTTTGCAATATTTATGTAAGAAAAATAATCTTTTATTTTAGATTAATTTGGGTATTTAAACTTTAAAAATATATGAAATGTTTCTTCATCACCACAAAACCGCGATTAGTTATTTTCACCAATCAAACATTATTTCACACAGCTTATTTTGTACAAACCGCATTTGTCCCGCAAATACCGCATTTGTCCCGCAAATACCGCAGTTGAACCGTACCGTACTACAAAACCGCTTTTCCCGCAAAACCAAATACGATGTTACCATTCGGATCCTATAGTTTTTCATTTATGTTTGGTGTTTTTAATAACAAAATGATGAAATACGCGCACGGAGTTCTATACCTCACAAAAGTTAAATCCACTTTTCATTTTCTACCCACATGTAAATAAATGCGGTCCAAAGAAAACCTATTGTACTTACGTACATAATTCTTAATAATAAAAATCACTTATATATATGATGAAGTAATTTATCTATATGTTGGTATAACCATTTTTTTTTCTTTTTTTTTACGTTGGTGCAACTATTTATAAAGAGATATCATATATGTAATAATATAATAAATCTAATATATGGTTTTTATCTTTTATAAAACAAATTTTGGTCTTTGCTTTATTTAGTTAAATGAAAAAAATCAGTTTAAAATTAAACATTTATGGTAACATATTTTAACAAAATTGTATACTTTAAGACACACACACACACACAAATATATATATATATATTCATATAAGTAAATTTATATATTTTAGCACATAAATATATATATTGAAGTTCTTAAATAAATTTATATGCATTAATTTTATTGAATATAAAATTTAATTTATTAAATATCTATTTTTTGGTCATCAAAATAATATAAAATATTAATGAAAATTTTGATTATTATATTTGTAGTGTATTTGACATTATAAGAGTAAATATTATCTATATATTTTTAAATATATATATATATATATATATGTATATTCCGCATATTAATTTTCACCAATCAAATATTATCAAATATTGTTTTGTCACGCAAATACATTTCTCCCGCATATACCGCTGTTGGACCGTACCGCACTGTCAATCCATTTTTCCTGTACAGTCAAATACGTTGTCACCATTTGGACCCTCAAGGTCTTAAACTGCACTGCACTACTTAATCCATTTGTCCCGCATCTTCAGATCCGTTGTCACTATTCAAAGATATATTGTCCTTCACCGCTTGTTATGTAGTAACCGCACTTGTTCTACTTGATGTTATTTTGAACCGTATGGCAATAAAAGTGCACCGCATCTTTAAAACCACTTGTTCTGCACTGGTTAAATTGTTGGTACCATTCGAAGCCTAAGGGTCTGAATGGTAACAACATATTTGGTTGTGCACGAAAAGCGGTTTTATCGTGTGTTACGGTTTAACTGTGGTACATGCAGGAGAAATATATTTGTGGAATAAGTGCGGTTTTAATAGAATAAACGATACAAAGGGTCCGAATGGTGACAGCGTATTTAACTGTGTGGGAAAAGCGGTTTTATAGTGTGGTACGGTTCAACTGCGGTACGTGCGGGAGAAATACATTTGCGGACAAGTGTGGTTTTTATAGAATAAGCGGTACGGAACAATGTTTGATTGGTGAAAAGATAATTTGCGTTATACAATAAAATATTTGAATGGTAAAAAAAACAACAAAGAGGACGCATTACCGATTATAGATAAATATATTAGAAATAAATATATCAATAATTATAAATTAGTGTTTTTTTGGTAATGAAGAACAATTGTCATATATTTATGAACCTTAAATATCCAACGATCTAAGATAAGACATAATTATTGCTAAATCTTTTAAAAATTTCAATCATAAAAAGCACAACACAATAAAAAAAAAACTAATATTGGCATGAACCTAATTATTTTGGTAAATTTTCGTTGTTCCGTATAACACCAACTATAGTTTAGCAGTTATAGTTTATCTTCATTGGTGCTTTTACCTATCAATGAAATACTTACGCCCAAATAATTGCTTCTTAAGTGTACTAATACATGCCAAATAAGTATATTTACACATATATTAAAAAAACGTTTGCAAAAATATATATAAAAAAAAAACTAAAAACCGCACTTTAACCATCCAAGCAACCTTAATTTGATGCGGGTAGAACGCACCGTTTTTACAAACAGAAAAACAAACAAAATCAGTCCCGCTTTAATTATTAACTGTGTTATTGCGTTTTTCCTAAAATACATGACATTTGTGTGATTGGTGTATTTTCTTGATCCGTCCTACAACATGTCAGAATCGGTCCCGCTTTATAACTTCCATTCACTACCAAAATAATGTTTGACTAGTGAAAAATATTTTTTGCGGTACACAATAAAATTTGTGAATAATAAAAAAGAAAAATACATGTTGTATGCATATATTATATCTATTATAATATTATTTGTATTAATAAATTAGAAATTTGTTTGTAAATGTTATTAAAACAAATTTTGAAAATAATTAAGTTGATTTTGTACAACGACTATTATTAAAATAAACTTTTATTA